TCAGAGTGCCTCAGGAAATGAGCATTTAGCTTCACAGCTAAGAAAAGCAAGACACAGAATGTACCATCTACAATTATTCTGCACACAAGCACAGGAATGGAGAGAGAAGAGATGGACAGGACCGCTCTGCAGTAAGACATATGGCAGCAAGAAGACAACTGAACTCGGGAAGGGATGGCTTTGCGGATTTAAGTTTCTGCATACGCTCAAGTATGTTGTGGGCCCATGGTCTACGGTCAACACTTACGTAAATCCCTTCAATAACAGCTGTTAAACAATTATTTACATACCTTCTGCAAAATATCTATAAAGAGCCAACATACTTCTAATTGTGCCCCTTTGGACCATCCTCCCAGCAACTCTAGCCTTCAAAGATGGACATACTCCCCCAGGTGAGCTGGTTCAGGCACTATTGTTCTCCACAAATGGGCTACCAACTTCCCTTTGGTGCATGGTACACAGGATGGGGACATGACTTTAGAGTTGGGCAGATTCGGGCATTAGCTCTGTCCTTGCCATGCCTTTTGGAGGTTGACTTGAACTTTGTAAACCTCAATCTCCTCATCTGTAAACGAGGGATAATAACGGATAATACAGCATGGGATCACTGTGGGAGTTAGACCAGGCAATGCATGGAAAGCACCTGGGTACACAGGTAAGGCTCATGTCTCTCTCCCTCCTCTGCCTTTTAAAAGGCACTGGCATGTCTTAACCTTTCCACTTTTTATTTCCTTCACAGACATAAAAAGGTCAAAAGAGCCACTGATGGACAGCTGAGCGTGGTGGCATGCTCCGTTAATCCCAGAAGTTGGGGAGGGAGAGGCAAAAGGATCAGAAGCTCAAGGTCATTCTTAGCACACAGCCAGTTCTAGGCCAGCCTGAGCTCCATAGGACCCTGTCTCAGACTAGATTCTGATCTGATCGCACACATGTTTCTAGATTGTTCACCCCCGTCATGTCTAAGTACAGAAAGCTCTGAATGTTTGAAATCCATTAAGCCACCCAGTCTTCCCTTGTACCTTGTCTCCGCCCCCAGGAGGCAGCCCAGTATTCCTTCACTGCAATGGACTGTTCAACCTGGCAATTTACTGTGCCAGCCAAAACCAGACAAGTGATACAAAAGCCCAAAGGGTATGTATGTCAAGACTGTGATCAAGAGAGAAGTTCTTACATTTTAACTCAGAACATCTCGCAAGTACCTATACACATCTACACTGAAAGTCCTTATCTCAGTGAACTTCAGTCTCAACAAACCACCCAGGAAAACACATGCTGAGTTCATGGTTCACCACTTAACAAAAAGACAAAAGCCCAGAGATAAATGCCCCTGCTTCAGAGGGTGGGGGACTAAAGCTGGGGTGAGGCGTGGGGAGTGAAAATTCTGAGTGCACCCTGATTATGCCAAGAGATAATTATCAAACGCGGAGGCTCTGGGGATAACCTTGGCTGCAGGGAGTATCAACTATGCACAGGCTCCATATGTCAGGGCGCGAGCCATCTCAGGGAGAACTGCAGGCACAGGCCCCGGGGGTGTGCCGGCGGCTCGTTATACACCAGGTGTATTACTACTTGCAGCGCTGGGGCACTGGATGCCGCTTCGGGACCTGGGCGAGAAGGGGCTGCAGGGTCTTCAGGCCTCGGCTTAGTCACGAACTAATCAAGAGATCGCCAGATACCCCGGGGCCTTTTATGCCCCGCACAGGGAGCTGTGCACCAGCATCTCAGAGCACCTGAGCGCCCGGCGCCTCCACCAGCCGCGACCCGCTCCCACGCCCTCTCCCCCGGCCCGCGGCTGCCCCGCGCGCACCCTCGCCCAGTGCCGCCCAGTCGCCTACCTGCTAGCCGCCGACCCCAGTCCCGGCCCACTCTCCGCGCCCGCTGCCCGATCCTCCGCCTTTTCTTCCGTCTACGTCCCGGCTCTCCGGCGTTGCGTCAGCCGCGTTAGGGCGAACCCCCGCCGCGGCGCCAGCGCAGCTGACGTTAGGCTACGGGTCCGACCCGAGCTGCGCCGCGGCAATGGCGCAGGCGCTTCTGAGAATCGCGCCCACGCTCCACGTGGCGGCCCCCTCCCACCCGCAAGCTCCGCGCCCTTAGAGTATAGGGGCGGGGCTCTGGGCACCCAGACAGGAGCCGCCCCGGACACTTCCCGGGGAGGTGGAGAAGGGGGCTGGCTCCAGTTGCTGATGGTTTTCATAAGGCGTGCTTGACAGTGATCATCTGTATGTTAGGCTCACCTAAGAAACAGATTGGATCAATTAAGATTCTTGCCCCCCCCCTCAAAAACAAACACAAACTGGCTATTGAAAAAAAAAAAGTGTCACCATGATAAAGTAAGTTGGCACCTAGTTATCCGGAAATAACAGCCCAAGTGTTTTTAGCAAAGGCGGTGGTAAGAATGCTGCATTTTAAAAAGGTGTGTTTAATCTCTGATCACTTATTATTCCAAAACTGAATGCATAAAGAGTGCGGGCTGCCTCCTTCCCAGCTGGCTATGTTCTCCTCACCATCGCACCTTTGCACACAGGCACATTGTCTAGAGGAGGTCAGCTGTGGTTGGAGGTTGGCTTTTGTAGTCCTGACAAGGCTGCTGAGCCTATTCATTCATTTCCTCATTCACTAAAGGGGCTTTAATGCTACTTCTTAATCCATGATGCAGCAGTATCCGGAAGAGAGGCCTAAAAGGAGATTTCAGATCAGAAGGATCAGGCTCATAGGTGCTGGGTCTGCAGAAGCGGTTTCCCCTTCCATTCTTCAGCCATACTAAGGGACCTGGGTGGTCCTGCATTCTGCCTTGTGAGGACAAAATATGAAGTCACGATCAAGCCAGGGCCTTGATCTTGAACTTTCCAACCTCTAGAACCATGAAAAATCAAAATAAGTAAAGAAATAAGTAAACAAACAACTACCCAGACTTTGGTATTCTGATACAGCTCTACAAAATGGACTCAGCGCCGGGTGGTGGTGGCACATGCCTTCAATCCCAGCACTCAGGAGGCAGAGGCAGGTGGATCTCTATGAGTTCAAGGTCAGTGTGGTCTGTAGCTCGAGTTCCAGGAAAGGCTCCAAAGCTACACAGAGAAACCCTGTCTCAAAAAAAAAAAAAAAAAAGGACTCAGCTCATTATCACGCAAGGCATTTCCTAGGAGGGGAGTGAAGCACTGGTTAATTCAGTTTCTATATGAGAGAGATATGTGCAACTCATTACAAAATAATGTGATAAACGTGAATGGGTGCCTGGAGAGATTGGGACGGCTTTAAAGAGAGCTGTCATTTGGACTGTGTTATGAAGAACAAGTTCACTGAAAAGACAGGGCCCCTTTGAAAATAGAATTGATGAAACAGGGACTCAGACCTTAGTAGGTCAGAGACTGTAGTTGGAATTTTCCTTGGGCTGCCAACCAGTTCCCAAATAAAGATACAGAGACTTACTATTAATTATGAATGCTCAGCCTTAGCTTAGGCTTGTCCCACTTGCTCTTTTTTTTTTAAGATTTGTTATCTATCTATTTATCTATCCATTTATTTAATGTACACTGATGTTTTGCCTGTATATATTCCTTGGGAGGGTGTCAGATCTCCTGGAACTGGAGTTACAGACAGTTGTGAGCTGCCATGTGGATGCTGGGAACTGAATCCAGGTTCTCTGGAAGAGCAGCCAGTGGTTAACCGCTGAGCCATCTCTCCAGTCCCCCCCCCCCCCCAATAGCTCTTTTAACTTAGTTTAACCTGTTTTTATTCATCTACATTTTACCTCGGGGCTTTTTGCCTTTCTTTCATTCTGTATGTCCTATTTTCCTGCTTCCTCATGTCTGTCTGTCTGGCCCTTGGTGTCTCCCTGGCATCTCTTTTTCCTTCTTCCCACACCTAAATTCCTCCTCCTACTTACTCTCACTGTGTGGAAGTCCTGCCTATACCTCCTCCTTTGCTATTGACCATTCAGCTTTTTATTAGACCAATCAGGTGCCTTAGGCAGGCAAGGTAAAACATCAACACATCTTTACATAATTAAACAAATGAAACACATCTTTGCATAGTTAAACAAATATTCTGCAACATTCCCCCTTTTGTCTAAATAAAAAGAAAGGTTTTAGCTTTAAAATAGACTGTATACAATAAGAACAATTATCAAGTAAGAATTATATTTTTGTATTTAGCAAATTTTGTATTTGTATTTGTATTTGTAATAGTCCTTTTGTATTTAGCAAATTCAGAGAAAATACTCCATTATCTATGCTATCTTGATGAGTCTAAAGTTTTGTACCTAATTTACTTTCTACCCTAACTTGTATTACTAACCCAAAATCATCTTTTTAGACCTCAAAACATTTTCTTAGATAAATAATTTAAACCTTTATGTTTCTTCATGTTTAATGTTAAAGGCTTAATGTTTAAAATACTTAGATATGACATTTATTCCTTCAAAAATTTGCCTTAATTAAAAGGATAGTGTGAGTCTTTAAGTTTCAAATTTTCTACTATAATTTTTAACCAATGAGTCTTCACTCAAGAATAGGAAATGATGGCCGGGCGGTGGTGGCGCACGCCTTTAGTCCCAGCACTCGGGAGGCAGAGGCAGGCGGATCTCTGTGAGTTCGAGGCCAGCCTGGTCTACAGCGCGAGATCCAGGAAAGGCGCAAAGCTACACAGAGAAACCCTGTCTCGAAAAACCAAAAAAAAAAAGAATAGGAAATGACATCTTCAAGAAGTCTCTGTGCATGTTACTGTCTGTGAATTGGCCAGGCACTCAGGGTTCTGTGCAAATAACCAAAGCCTTACCCTTAAACAAACAGATTTCAAATAGATGTCATGGGCATAAAATTGGAGTAAAGGAGAGTATTTCTCCAGGATAAAAAAAAAAATAACAAAAAACCCCAAGTCCCCCATTTGAATACTACTGTACAATTTATAGAATCCCAACCCCCCTTTAAACCTCATATACATAAAAATGTTCAGGTGTTTCACAGGGAGTCAACTTCTGCCGCAACGATGGACTTAGCACATCAGAGTTCTCAGTCACTTTTATTTCTCCACACCACAAAGTAGGAAACGACAGAAAGGAACAGTGGGGCCATCTGCTACTGAGAAGAGCTGGGATTCCATTCACTTTGGAAAATGAGCAGAAAGAACTACTTTCCTAACTCGGGTCTGGGCAAGGGGTGTGGCCACACTTTGGCAAAAGAGCCAGACAAAATACAGAGCCAGCAGTTTCCTGGCTTGAACTGCCAGCACTGGTGCAGGGTCCAGCCCTTCTGAATTCAGTCTGGGTGACAGCAGGAACATGTGCCTGTGAGCAGCTGGACAGATCTTACAAATATTTAGAGAGACAAGATACGACGTGAAGAGGTGGAGGCTCTGGCCTGCCCAGCTTTAGAAGCAGAGAACCCAGAGTGTACCTGTAGTTCTGTGGAGCCCTAAGCTGAAAGCTATCATGATGAAATATTTTTAATGGCATTTTTAGAATACCAGCTTGAATTTATAAAAATTCCTGGCTGAGCATGGTGGCAGCACGCCTTTAATCCCAGCAGTAGGGACGCAGTGGCAGGGGGATCTCTTTAAGTTTGAGCCCAGCCTGGTTTATACTGGGAACTCCAGGCCAGCCAAGGTTACACAGTGAGAAAATGGGGAAAACAGTTTCCTTTAGTGAGGTTCTGTTTCCCTAAATGTCCTCCTGTAATCATGAGTAAGTGAGGACCTCTTCGGCCAAGACAAGCAGGCCATCTTAGAATTTCCCATAGGGAAAAATGAAACCTGATTATTTTCCATTTTCACTTAGTCTGTGAGTTGAGAACTCCAAGCAGAAAGATGCACAAGATGAGCACGGGAGAGGCTGAGTCCTGAACATTGGCCCCTCTGCTGAATGCCACTTTGAAAGGATAGAAGAAATCAAACGGCAGTTTCCAGTCCGTTCTAGGTTGATCCCGTGGTGGCACTGGCTTCTGAGTAATGTCCACAAAGTTCACAAGAGTTGTCAAAGATACTTCTATCCCTCTCTGGTGCTCCTATAGGAAGAAAGGCAAGGACAGGTCAGCTCTACTTATATTTCATGGAATCTCCACCAGAATTATTTTCTTTGGACTGACAACAAACGTGCTCTAAGCAATATACATCTTCTTGAATGGTCCTGTATAGTTCTCTTTGTGTGAGATACAAGCAAACAAATTTCTAACAGCCCACGACTCCAGAACTGTGAACAGGTACACCTAAGGACTCATTCTCAGAGCCTGGCACACATGTCCTTGGAGGGTAGAGGCAGTAGGATCAGGAGTTTAAGGCCACCCTTGACTACAGCAAATTTGAGGCCAGTCTGGGCTATAGAAGACCCTGTCTCAAAAGAGACTTTCACTCTCTCTAACTAGGGAGCTGACGGAGCAGAAAGGGCAGATGACCAAACCACTGCTATAACATGCTTAGCAGCTCTCCGCCAGCTGGCCCGGGAGCTGCAGCTCTAAAACAGTACACAGCGGAAGCAGTGAAGATGGCCCAGATTTCATGGAAAAAAAGAAACAAAGAATTTGGGAAAAACAAACAAAACCTTACCTCAATTATCAGATTCACAGACTCCTAAACTTAAAAAGATTCCCCAACCATCCACCAATTCAAGTCAAAGAGAGGGGACGCTCCCAGGAGAAATACCCATGTAAGGCTGACCCCCATAGAGAAATACCCAGGTAAGGCTGACCCCCATAGAGAAATACCCAGGTAAGGCTGACCCCCATAGAGAAATACCCAGGTAAGGCTGACCCCCATAGAGAAATACCCAGGTAAGGCTGACCCCCATAGAGAAATACCCAGGTAAGGCTGACCCCCATAGAGAAATACCCAGGTAAGGCTGACCCCCATAGAGAAATACCCAGGTAAGGCTGACCCCCATAGAGAAATACCCAGGTAAGGCTGACCCCCATAGAGAAATACCCAGGTAAGGCTGACCCCCATAGAGAAATACCCAGGTAAGGCTGACCCCCATAGAGAAATACCCAGGTAAGGCTGACCCCCATAGAGAAATACCCAGGTAAGGCTGACCCCCATAGAGAAATACCCAGGTAAGGCTGACCCCCATAGAGAAATACCCAGGTAAGGCTGACCCCCATAGAGAAATACCCAGGTAAGGCTGACCCCCATAGAGAAATACCCAGGTAAGGCTGACCCCCATAGAGAAATACCCAGGTAAGGCTGACCCCCATAGAGAAATACCCAGGTAAGGCTGAACCCCATAGAGAAATACCCAGGTAAGGCTGACCGCCATAGCTGATCTCAGAGACAGGACTTCTAGAAGTGCTAACCAAGCCCAGGATTCGAGAATAAATAATTATCTTGTAGAACCTGGAACAAAACTGTCCTGTTTTCCCTGTGTCACTCTGATGCACATACCTACTGTTTGCTGGAGTTCATTTATTTATTTGTGGTTTGGTTTGTTTGGGGTTTTTTTTGTTTGTTTGTTTGTTTTTGGTTTTTCGAGACAGGGTTTCTCTGTGTAGCTTTGCGCCTTTCCTGGAACTCACTCTGTAGCCCATACTGGCCTTGAACTCACAGAGATCCGCCTGCCTCTGCCTCCCAAGTGCTGGGATTAAAGGTGTGTGCTACCACCGCCCGGCCTTATTTGTGTTTTTAAAGATTTTTTTTATGTGCATGGATGTTTTTGCCTGCACATATGCCTGTGTATCATGTGTGTGTGCACCTGCTATCCAGGGAGGCCAGAAAAGGGTGTTGGATCCTCAAGAATTGGAGTTACTAGCAGTTGTAAGCTGTGATGTGGGTGCTGGTAACTGAACCTGGGTCCTCTAGAAGAGAAGAAGTCAGTGATAATCTCACAGGCTGTATGAACTTTCGGGGCTCTTTTGTAAAAACAGCCACACTCACCAGCTTTGGCACAGAACTGAGATGTTCAGCCACTTCATCCCAGGACAGCCTGCCTTGGCACAAATGGCCCAGGGAATACATCCAGCCAGACACTTAAAAACTAGCTGAGACTAACCAAAGAAAATCAGGGCATGTTTAACATGGAAAACTTAAGAATAAGTAATAATTTTTCTTTGGAATTTAACTTATGATAAGGTTTTTTTGTTAGGACCTTAATTTCATCCCTAGGAACTTTAGAATGAAAATGAGGTATATTAACAAACTTGGAAAAATGTGTCATCTAAAGAATGCCCATGAGCTGGCTAGAATGGTCAGAAATACTTTGGTATAGAAAATGGAACAGGGATTGAATTTTCATTTCCAGGCTTGGTATTGTGTAGGAACTTAGTTAATGTACTGACTCACTTCAGGGCTTTCAGGAGGAAGACACACTTTTAATTGCCTAGATGTCCTGGGAGGACACTGCACAAAGCTGTGGTTAGAAATGGGGTAGTGGCCTCAGATGGAGATACCCAATCCACGTCTACCTACAGCGTGTTTATTAGTAACAAAACTGATTTTTTAGTTTCTACAACATTTAAAGTTTTTTATTTTTATTCTTTGTGTGCATGCAGTGTGTGTGTGTGTGTGTGTGTGTGTGTGTGTGTGTGTGTGTGCAGATCAGAGAACAACCTGTGGAAGTCACTTCCCTCCTTCCACCATGTGGGTCCTAGAGATCAAACTCAGGCTTGGTGGCAGGTGTCTCTAATTGGCTGAACCATTTCCTGGGCCTAAAACTGATATTTTAATGTGTACTTGTCTGACTCTCTTTTAAAATTTTTCTCTTAGCCGGGCGGCGGGCGGCAGTGCACACCTTTAATCCCAGCACTTGGGAGGCAGAGCCAGGCAGATCTCTGTGAGTTCGAGGCCAGTGTGGTCTACAGAGCAAGATCCAGGACAGACACCAAAACTACACAGAGAAACCCTGTCTCGAAAAACCAAAAAAAAAGTAAATAAATAAAATTTTTAGCTTAAAATTTTAATAAACATATCAATCATATATATATTTCTAGGGTACAGTGTACTCTTTTAAGACATATATACAGTAGGGAATAATCGGATCAGGGTAGCTGGCATATTGACCACCTTGACATTCAAATCCTGTATCTGTCTCTTTTTCATTGGTTTCCTGTTGTGGAATATTATTTTAACTGGGCAAAGATGTGTTACATTTGTTTATGCTGTGAAATATTACTTTAACTGTGTAAAGGTGTGCTACATTTGTTTATGCTGAATTTGTTTAACTATGTAAGGATGTGTTACATTTGTTTGTGCTGCATCTGTTTAATTACATAAAGATGTGTTGTCTGCCTAAGGCACCTGATGGGTTTAATAAAGAGCTCAACAGCCAATAGCTAGGCAGAAGAGGGATAGGTGAGGCTGACGGGCAGAGAGAATAAGTAGGAGGAGGAAAAGAGAGGAGAGAACGAGGGAGACCCCAACTGGCCAGACATGAGGAGCAGAGAGAGTAACATACACAGAAGCAAGAAAGGTAAAAAGCCCCACGGCAAAAGGCAGATAAAGAGAAACAGGTTAATTTAAAAGAGCTAGCCAGAAACGAGCCTAAGCTAGGCCGATCATTCAAAATTAAGAGTAAATCCCTGTGTCATGATTTGGGGGCTGGTTGGTGGCCCAGAAGAAAAAGTCTGGTACAGTTTCCAAGGTAGAGGAAAGACTTCAACTCAGAGACTTGAGGTCAGCAAACACCTAGAACTAATTTCCCAGATACCCAATGAGCCCAAGAAGGCAACTGTGACACCCGGGTCTACTCAATAGTAAAGTTTTGAGTGCTTAGTGGCATCTTGATGGCTAAGAAGCTGCACACAACAAGGTGTTGAACAGATTTTAGCTGCATGCAGGACACACTCAGAGCTGCTACTTGACTAGACTTTCAAGATGTCTTCGAAACAACGCATCCAAGAAACAGGGACAGAACCCACCCTCCTTTCACTGAAATGGGGAGATGATAATCTAAGAAAAATGTGGGTGGAGGGAGGGTTTACAGAGGAAATGAAGGTCATGTATGAGCAGACAGAAGTGCTCATTATTCTCATTTGATCATTGCACCTTGTATCAAAATCCTATTCTGTATCCCAGAAACACGTACAATTATTGTGGGGGACCTGCCCCCACTTTTTTCCCCCAGGGTACTCTTGAGGAGTGTGGGATAAGAGATTTAGATAGAAATATAGGGGGGAGAGAGACAGATAGAAACACAGGATAGCCTCGGGAGGGCCTGGATCCTTATCCACCAGTCCCTTCTGTTGCTTCTAAACGGCTTTTTAAAGAAATGCCAAGGAGTGGAGCAAAAGACCTCCCCCTAGCACAGCCAAGTGCAGACCCTTCCAAACACCTGGTAACCACGCACATGGTCAATATGTAGCCCTGCTGCATAAAGCAAGCTCAGATCTCACTAGGAAATCTCTGTGGGCTCCCACAAATTATACTCCAATTAAAGACCAAGAAAGTCTTTACAGTTGTATGAGGGTTTAGAGTAAACACAGTCCAGAAGACTGCCCAGTTAGAGGGGATGGAATTGTACTCATCAGGTCACTGAGTAACACCAAATGTGGCTGACCATTTGAGAGTGCAGTTTTTAGTTATGAGAGAACAAGGTTTTTAGTTATGTTTGATGTACTGAATTGGGATTTTGGTCTAAACTTTCTGTATTTGCATTTTAAAGTTATGTACAGGCAATAAATGTTCAGTGTGTGAGTCACTAAAACACTTCCCTCAAACTCTGCTCGCCTCATTTCTTTTGTTGGGACAAACAATGATACAGCCACAGCAGCACATTTCTTTTTACTATGGTTCCAGTTCTGTTATGTGTGGTTGACTTCACTTATTTCTACTTTATGTGATGATATTTTATGATGTTTACTTTAGAAATTATCGCCAACACTTCCTGGGGCTTGACGTTTACTTGCTTCACGTCAATCTATAATGCAGCAAAATCCCTTCTTAAATATAAGATTTACTAGCTAGCAACATGTAGAGTTTGGGTTAGGTTTGTTGGCTTTTATAACAGGACGTACACCTTATGTATTATATTGCATCTTAGTCAATTTTTAAACTACCATGTTCTCTATCCAATCATTACAAATGAAAACTATTATTAAAAAGCTGGAGGGGCTTCCTCTGACATTGTGTTTTGCAGCTACACTCATGTCTATGAACCAGAACAGATATCTTTGGCCAGAACGTTAACTCATGACTGAGATACACAAGTTCTTTATTCTACATGAAGAACACCATCAGGTACCTATATTGCAAGTATTTCCCTCTGGCCTGATTTTCCTTTTATTTTTATTTTTCTTAAATGTCTTTTTGTTGGGCTTTAATGCTTTATCTGATGTATAATTTATAAACAATAACATCGATGTGCACTAGTGTTTAGGTCAGAGTTCTGACTGACAAGTGTGTGTTATTCAGCCAAAGCCAAAACAAGAGCTGTAGCACGAATCTTACAAGTTCTTATTAATAAAAACAAACCTGAACCGGGTATTGGGGCCAACGCTGGAAGATCAGAGAAGCAGAACAAGCCACAGCCACCTCACCTGGCCAATTCCTCAGCTGATCCTGTTTCTTCAGACTGGAAGCCTGTGTCCTCATCTAAATGAATCTCAGCTGAACTGCTGCTCAAAAGCCTAAAAGCTTAACCAGGCTCTAGTTCCTCGTCCTCACGTCTTATATACCTTTCTGCTTTCTGCCATCACTTCCTGGGATTAAAGGCTCTTGTTACCACGCCTAGCTGTTCCCAGTGTGGCTTTGAACTCACAGAGATCCAGATGGATCTCTGCCTTCGGAATGCTAAGATTAAAGGCGTGAGTGCCACCATTTTCTGGACTCTGTATCTAGTGGTTGTTCTGTTCTCTGACCCCAGATAAGTTTATTAGGGTGCACAATATTTTGGGGAACACAGTATCACCACAAAGAGCCAGAAGGTGCATCATCTCAGTTCCTCTGTGACCCCTTTCCAATCTTATCACTGGACTAGTTAATGGTTCATGACCAAAACAACAGCTGAAATTCCATTATCCGCTTCTGTCAGGTGGACTCACTGACTCCATAGTGCTGTAGGTAATGCAAACTAACCTGAAAAGTTAACTGCAAACTACCAGAAAAAGACATGAGATGAAACAACCAGATAAGAAAGGAGGCCCTGGACGGTGTAACGCCCAGGAGAGTCAGAGACTTTGGAAAAGAAGTAGCACAAAAATGGTACCGTGACAATAGAACTCAAGTTACAGTTGGGAAGAATTATCAGCAATTCGTTGCAGGCTCTGTAACAAACTACATGAGCCTCACAGAAACATGTCCATCTAGAGAAAGAAGAGGAAGGTCTCAGGGAACTTTCCGATAACCCGATGTTAACATCACTGATAGGCAGACAACCAAGTTGCGCAACGCTGCTGCTTGAGAGAGTAAAAGTATGTTACGCTAGACCCAAATGCAGTTTCCAGGTTCTTTTCTGGAAAGTAAATATATTGCAACAAACAGAAATTTCAATGTTTCAATTTTCATTAAAAAATAGTATCGTCGGGCGGTGGTGGCACACGCCTATAATCCCAGCACTTGGGAGGCAGAGCCAGGCAGATCTTTGTGAGTTCAAGGCCAGCCTGGTCTACAGAACGAGATCCAGGAAAGGTGCAAAGCTACACAGAGAAACCCTGTCTTGAAAAACCAAAAAAAAAAAAAAAAAAAAAAAGCCAGATCATACACAAGTCATTTCAGCTCATTGTTTCTAGGTTTAAAAGTTAACATACTAGCCGGGCGGTGGTGGCGCACGCCTTTAATCCCAGCACTCGGGAGGCAGAGGCAGGCGGATCTCTGTGAGTTCGAGGCCAGCCTGGTCTACAGCGCGAGATCCAGGAAAGGCGCAAAGCTACACAGAGAAACCCTGTCTCGAAAAACCAAAAAAAAAAAAAAAAAAAAAAAAAAGTTAACATACTTTTGAACCTGTAAAGCTAAAGATTACACTCTAAAACCAAAGCAGATGCTAAGCTATAGCACATTATAAACAGCAGACATATTACTACAGATGAAAGGATTTATTTAATGGAGCCTACAGAAGCGAGAATTGATAACTACACCAATAACTTTAATCACAATCAACATTTCCAAAACACTATTAATTGAGTGACTGTCACGGTGAACACACATGCATGGAAAATGCTTTCTGTGGTCAGATCAGTAGGATTATTTAAAAGAAACTAACGTATACTGCTGAAATGGGGGGTGGGTAGGGAATGGATATGGTTGTCCACTGTGACAAAACACTAATTTTCATAATCATGCTGGAAAGATAGACTTGAAAAATGCATTTTGGGGACTCACTCTAAAGAAACACTGATTGGTAACATATACTCTCAGAAGCTTAACAATGCTCTGATTATCAAATGGCTGCTAGGAACATGACTTACCTGTACAGACTTGCATTGGTACAGGAACCGGGCTCCTGCCACATGAGCTTGTGGGTTAGACTGAAGTCCTATATGTGCCCACAACACCTGGATCTCCAGGGAAACTGGTATGAAACAGCAGGAAGTGCAGTTAACAGCCTGCAGAAGGTAAAGAAGCATGCACTCAGTTGCAATCATTTTTTTAAAGATTTATTTTTATTTATGTGTATGTGTGTGCATGTCTGTGTATTCGCACATGTGTGCAGATGTGCATGGAGACTAGAGAGGGTGTCAGATCCCCTGTAGATAGAGTCATAGGCAGTTGTGAGCTACCAGTGGGTGCTCTTAACTGCTGAGCCATTTCTCAGCATCTCTTGAGCAGATTTTTTTTTTAAAGATTTATTTATTTATTATGTATACAGAAAAGGGTACCAGATCTCATTACAGATGGTTGTGAGCCACCATGTGGGTGCTGGGAATTGAACTCAGGACCTCTGGAAGAGCAGTCAGTGCTCTTAACCTCTGAGCCATCCCTCCAGCCCCAGATATTGTTTTTAAAGCACCATGCAGTAATATGGAAGGCCCATATGGCTTAGAGGAAGCACAAAACTAGGCCGTATAAATGTTCTTAATCTTAAAAAAAGTTGTAGTTAAAAGTTATCAACAGGTTGAAGATTCCTCTGAAAACTAAAGACACATCTATCACATGGTCTGGCTAGTCTACTCTTGGGTGTATACATTCAAGGAAATGAAATCAGCATGTCAAAGAGATAGTTTACTGCAGCACTATTCACAACAACCAAGATAGGATCTCAACTAAGGTTCCCATCAATGGATGAAGAAAATGTAGTCTTCATATAATGGAATAAGATTCATTCATTCATAAAAGAAAGACTGAAACCTTGTCATCTGTAGTAAAATGGGTGGACATGGAGAACATTACATTCTATGAAATGACACACGGGCACACTGTCACACATGAGTGGGAACTGAAAATGTTGATTTTAACACAGAAGGGTAGAATCCTACAGTGATTACTGGAGACTATGGGTGAGGTGCACAGAGCAGAAGGGGGGGATAATCAGTATCAAGCTGCAGTTAAACAGGAAGAAGAATCTCTCGTGCTCACAGCACAGTAGGGCAACTACAGTTTTAAATAACCAACTGCTCACAGCACAGTAGGGCAGCTACAGTTTCAAATAACTGATTGTGTACTTTATGCAGAATTTGCAGGTTTAATTTCCAGCACTAAAAGAAAAAAGAGCTTGAAAGAGGAGCTAACCGACTCTGAAGGTAATAATAAGATGACTAAATATTGTATGGATATACTTAAGTTTCACAGACAATCCGTAAATATATACTTAAGTTAATTAAAAATAAAACTTCCAAAAAGGCACACAACTTTTTGTTGCCAAGGAGAAACACTCACTAAGAGACAGCTACAAAGTGTCTCCTATGGACCAAGGATATGAAAGGCTATGGCCTTGGGCAGACAACTTGGATAAAGAAAAGGATGTGAACACAGGAGCAATGACAAGTTAAAAAAGACACATTAGGGTCAGATTCTGAAGCCATCCAAACAGTCTGTTCTGAAGGCACCAGGAAGCCATGTAAATCTTCAGAACAGAAACATGGCATATTTAAAGCAGTACCCTAAGGGAAATGATTGTAAGATGTAGGAAGATACATCTTATTTGATTTCATCTTTTTTTTTTTTTTTTTTTTTTTTTTTTGGTTTTTCGAGACAGGGTTTCTCTGTGTAGCTTTGCGCCTTTCCTGGAACTCGCTTTGGAGACCAGGCTGGCCTCGAACTCACAGAGATCCGCCTGCCTCTGCCTCCCGAGTGCTGGGATTAAAGGCGTGCGCCACCACCGCCCGGCTGATTTCATCTTTTAAACCATTAACACACGTTAGGTTATTGGGTGGCACTGAAAACTGAACCCAATTAAATTATCTGGCAAGAGCTCTCCACTGAGCCACACATTGTCCTAAAGACCTAACCTGTTGCAGTCACAAGAGAACGGGCCTGCCGCCAGCCTCATAATCAAACCTATACTGACCAAATATTTAAGACTCTAAGTGTAGCTGGAAACATGGCTCCACAGGTAAAGCTTGTTTGCTGCCAGTGCCTGGCAACTTGAGTTTGACCACCCCCAGGATGCATATGGTAGGACAGGACCACCTCTCCAAGCTGTCCTCTGACTTCCATACATATGCACACACATGATAATGCAATGGGGAAAAAATATGAGAATATTTGAAATATATGGCATGGTTTTGAGCCATAAGCAACCATCAGTGGTTCTCCATCTTCCTAATGCTGTGACCCTTTAATACAGTTCCTCATGTTGTGGTGACCCCCCCCCCACAATCATAAAACTATTTTTGTTGCTACTTCATAACTAATTTTGCTACTGTTATGAGTCATAATGCAAAGATCTGATAGACAGGATGGTCTCAGATGACCCCTGTGAGAGGGTTGTTTAAACCCGGAAGGGGTTGCCACTCACATGTTGAGAACCGCTGCTCTAGATTATCTTCAAGTTTTTTTAAAGTAAGGAAAATAGATTAGCTGCATGTGTAACCTGCAATAGTGACCCCAAACAGTCATAATTCCTTACATTCCTCTCTATATGATAAATACAGACAGAATACGGGCTGGTTTGCCTTGCTATTCATAATTTCAAAGGTGGGAAATGAGTTGCCAGTCAGCAGTGGCTTCCTTCCTTACTGAAACACTGCAGTTCCTGCTGAGGATCCTGGTCCACCCTCCTTTCTGGGCTGGGTCAGGATTACCAAAGATGGCGACGTGCTCTGGTCTGGGCCTTCCATGAAGAGCCTGGTAAATCTCCCTCTGCAAATGGCTGCAGTTCACCTCTGTGGGTCTGGAAGTAAACGCCATGGAAGCTGGAGTCCAACTCTAACACGGTTGTGGCCATATTAGCATTCAACATTAAAAGTGATATTATGATAGATTAAATAACCTTAACAGGTACTCCACACCATCAGAAAATACTTAGCAATACAGTAACAGATATGAAGACTACCATTTTCTAAAGTATTATTTAAAGTATTAAACAGTTACTACATCAACATAGTGTCCCTAAAAACACAAACAAAATTGTGGGAAGTGCTCTGAGGCAAATGATTACCTTAACTTGCAGCCAGATATTGTGTTCACTCCAAACTGTATTTCATGTCTCTTATCAGAGCAAAGTCCATTACCGTCGCTCTGCAACAGGGTCATCTGAGGTGCAAAAGTGATGATCAAGGCAATTATAACAGAAATAGGAAGTGGGCAGGGCTGGGAAATTGAAGTTTTCACCATTCCCTAAGCACTATTTGTATTAATTAATATACTGTACATTTACTCATGATTTTGTTTTTTCTAACAGTTAAAAAACCAGACAATTAGTTTTTCTAAAAATGATTAACCATATATATGTATTACATATGTATTATATACAATTGTAATACATATATATTAGCATGTGAGTAGCTCGTTAAAATAAGCAAAAGTCAGTACAATCCTCACTTTCAGCTAGTCTGAGCTGTAAAGCCTTTGGTGGCATCAACATTAAGAACATGTTATACTTTGGTAAAGAAGAGGGAACCTTGAGAACTGGAAAAGTCAAAACATCAGCAGCATGTCTTGTCAGGCTGTGACAGTCTACCCAGCTCCAAAAAAGATACCTTGTGTCCAAAGTCATCAGTTAGCGCCAAAAGTGGCTTCCCGATGAGGTAGCCGGGATTCCCACTTCTAGGAGTAGGAAAAGCAGCCATGCGTTGTTCAAATGCCTGCAGAAGGAAGCAAACTGTTACTGTGCAAACACGCTTCCCCACCGGACTCCCGTCTTCCCTCATAACAGGCAATCTATGAGCTGCACTGAACACTGTAGCATTATCTCCACCGTTCCCTTTCTTCCCTCTCTAAAATAAATCGGGACTGATCTGTTTGTTGTTTTGTTTTGGGGAGTACTGAGGACTGAACTTAGTTAGGGTCCTGCATATGCTAGGCAATCTGAACTGAAATTCACTGCATGCTAATTCTGCTGAGGACCTACTAAGGACCCCTTGACACTACTTCTCACATGTTGATACTGATTTCGTGTATTGTGTGGCCTGGCTGAATCCAGAGGAATTTAAATATAAATTTAATTTTAATCAGTAACAGGGCTTTGAGAAACACAGAGCTTGGCTGATCACAGACTTGGAAAGAACTCTGCTCGGTTCAAAAGGAGGAAAGAGGAAGAAGAAGGGCAGATGGAGGACAGTAGTGAAGCCTGCAAACCAAAGACTCAGTGAGAAACAAAATTGTGAATGTCCAAAACAGAGAAAAAAGAGTAAAAGAATTCCTGCGTGCTGCTGAACTTAAGACTCACGGTGAGCATCTTTAACAAGTTCTGATTTGGGTACCACTCTGGTTGGGCCCAAAGAGAGCATCAGAGAAAATGTTAACGACACACTCGTAGTGAATACCTGTCACTCTAGTCAAATTCAGGAACAGTAAATGTCAAGACCTCAAATAAGGGCAAAGCAGGCCTTAATATTCTGATTCTATTTTGCATGCAGTACAGAAACAGAGTGCTATAATTTCTTTTCTATGAAGTAGAGTGGCAGATTTTATTAAAGATATTTTAGTAGGAGAAAGAGAGGTGCTCAGAAAGACAGACTCAGTATGGATACGGGTTCTGCAAAGTGCTGTTTCTAGGACTCAGCCCAGAAACCCTCTCTGAGAGAAGGCCACTGACCCTGAAGTGAATGACGAAGTCTTGTTGTAAGGAAACACCTGGCCTGACAGTCAGGTTGGTCTGTCTAAAGCTCACAGACACTTTCTGGATCCCAAAGGTCCCATTGGTCTCTATCTCATAGATGACCTGAAAAGCAAAAGAAGAATCAATTAATAAACAGCTGTGGATTTACTGTGCTGAGCACAGAAGACTATTGGACCTGTATGTTAACTGCTTGCAAGAGACTTGGACAGCAATCAGAAACAAAAATAACAGCATGAAAAGATAAAGATGGCTTAATATTGCATTTGCACGTGGAAGAAAGAGACCAAATAGGGCTCTTAGGAAAAGTTCACAGAAGAGCTGTGCTTAAGACAAGAGTTTGGAGTGTGGGCAAAGACAGGCAGGTGTGGTATTGAGCAAAGGTAAGCACCGAATGGAAACCTGGGTTACTAGACCCTCACAGTGTCTGGGGACAGAAGGGAGCACAGTCCTTAAAAAATTAAGATAATTTTTACTCTTTTACACATCCATTGACTATAAGAGAAAACTAAAGTCGACTCCTCTCAGACTTTGATGATAACTGTGTCAGCAGATGGAAATGTGGAAAGTCAGTCAGCACAAGACCGTGTGTACAAAGGAAGAGTCTGGACCTGAAACACTGGCGGACAGTAGTGACGGACATGATGGAAATGTGGCAGGGAAGAAGTGACAGGCTTGACCCCAGCAGCTCAGTGCGTCAGTCTAGCCCCTACAGGAAGATGAGGTCCCTCTGGTGATACTGACCGACGTGCACCAGTTTAGAATCCATACCTGGGAAACTATATTCTGACACGTGTTTCCAGCCAACAGAGGAGGACTGGTTTGTGAGGTAAGTGTTACAGGAACCTGGAGCTGGTAAGAGAAAGAAGCAAATCAACAGACATTGAAAATGGCCTTCTCTCCTCTAGCTACATAGTAGCTAAATGGAACACTTTCTTCCCCCTTGACTGTCCCAATTTTCTCTCCCTCCAGTGCCAGACAACTTAAGTCCAAGTCATTCTGAATCAGCACATTTCAACACAAGCTTCTTGGGACACCAGTCTTATTACACATGATACAAGGACCTACAGCCAATCAAATGTAAAGAATTCTGTACTCCACCTCCCCTCGACATTGACAATGCCCGTTAGTATATGAAAAGACTCAGAGATGCCCACTCCAAATGCAGCATTTTAGCTAGATTTAACTTAGGTGTTTTCTAGACTTACCAACATCTCATCAATCTTTATCTCATGTGAAGCTATGCCTAGTGCCATGATTGACTGTGGTACAAAATGCCTACAATCTCTTTCATTATTATAATCGAGAATGAATTGGCCTCATATATACAGAGGCCAGGTGTTCTTTTTTTCTGATAAACAGCATCCTACCTGTGTATTCTGAAGATCAGTCATACCTCTTGGAACCTAGGAGAGGTGAAAAACAGAGGCATGAGGGTGTATATGCCTTTCATAAAATCACCAGGAGTTTCCACTTCATATGACCCCAAACACATGGTGGGGGAGGAGAAGATCAAAATACTGGTATGGCCTCTCATCTCCCATCTGACTCTCCTTCACCAAATGCCAGAGAGTGGAGCTGGATGCCAGACTGCAATGGCTACCTATCCAGACAGAGCTCCGAAAGCAAGAACTTTGGCGAAACAGGGAACTGTCACCTGTTCCTTCGCTCTCTCAAGTCAACCCATTAGCGAGGACGGTGACAAGGTCTTATGGATCTATTGCCTCTAATTCTTCCATCTTTCTTCTGACAACAGTTTCCATACCCTCTACTTTATATGTCTTAGGAATGATGACTTCCAGCTTCAGGTGACAGTTGAGAGTGATTTGAGTGAGGGGAGTCTGTAGATGGGGACAAAGGACACCTACCTACCTTCAAGACTCTGAAGTTGTGGTAAGTGGCAGCGTCCAGGGCTGGCTCCGAGGTGCAGCTACTGGCCAGGTCCCTGAAGAAGCGAGTGCAGGCTGTGCTTTTCCTCTCCAGGAAGCCTTGCAACACCAAGAGTGAGACAGGGGTGAGTGACAAAGCCTAGTTCCAAAACAGCACCAGGCCGGGGGACGCCTGCCCCGGACCCGCCTGCCCTGGACCCGCCTGCCCCGGACCCGCCTGCCCCGGACCCACCTGCCCCGGACCCACCTGCAGGATTGCTCTCAGCACAAAACCCCCCAGCTCCCACTGCAGCAGGCTGCCTCAGTAAGCTCACGACAGACCAGCGGGGGGTAGTAAGTCAGGATGGGATCCCCAGCCTGAATAAAATAGAGGACAAATTTACTCACGGCCAGGTTAGACTGAACAGTCCAGTAAAAGGAAGCAGAAACAAAAGTTAACTCGGTGGCTTGCTTACTGTCCCCTAAGAGTTGAGAATGGTTAATCTCACTGTAGGAGGGGTACTGCAAAGTTACACTGCCAACTGCACCTTCAGGAAAACCAGACTCTTCCACCCCTTTCTCCAGGCTCACCCTGTAAAACGCTAATGGCGGCTCGGCTTTCGATGTCGAAGTAAAGGACTGGCCTCCAAACTCTGCAGCCAGGGCCTCGAAGTTGGTGGCATTGACTGTTTGGAGCTTCTGGAAGTAATTTAGTTTTGCTAAAATGTTTTTAAAAAAGAAGAGAGACTTAGATAAAAACATTTCTTTTTAAGTATCTGACATAAGAAACAACTTTGAAGTACAACAAACACACATTATCACATGCAAACGAACATCAAGAGTTTAAGAAAGTACTGCAAGTCAGGCGTGGTGGCGCACACCTTTAATCCCAGCACTCGGGAGGCAGAGGCAGGTAGATCTCTGTGAGTGTGAGGCTAGCCTGGTCTACAGAGCTAGTTCCAGGACAGCCAGCGCTGTTACATAGAGAAATCCTGTCTCAAAAAACAAAACAATGACAAAAGACAAAGTATTACAAGATGGTTCAGCGGGCAAAGGTGATTGCCATCAAGACTGACAATGGCCTCGAGTTGATCCCTGGGACTTACATGATGGAAGCAGAGAACTGATTCTCATAAATTGTCCTTTGATCTCCCCAAGTGTGCTGTGGTATGTATTCATGTCACATGCATGTATGTGCCCACACCCCCTCCACACACACACACAGAGTAAATAAATGTAAGTTTTACAGAACAAAGTACTGCTCAGGAACAGATGGGCTGACACCTGGTCTGTGCGTCGCCTTCTAGCACAGGTGCACTGACACCTGGTCTGTGCATCACCTTCTAGCACAGGTGCACTGACACCTGGTCTGTGTATCACCTTCTAGCACAGGTGCGCTGACACCTGGTCTGTGCATCACCTTCTAGCACAGGTGCACTGACACCTGGTCTGTGCATCACCTTCTAGCACAGGTGCGCTGACACCTGGTCTGTGCATCACCTTCTAGCACAAGTGTGCTGACACCTGGTCTGTGCATCACCTTCTAGCACAGGTGTGCTGACACCTGGTCTGTATATGACACCTGGTCTGTGCATAACCTTCTAGCACAGGTGTGCTGACACCTGGTCTGTGCATCACCTTCTACATCTGCCCTGCATCTCTAAGAGCTGAGGTTTCCAGCTCTGCAGCTTCCAGGAGCAGTTTAACATTTCCTCCAGAAACTGCACAGAAAGACTATTTACTTCACAGCAAATCCAGTTATCACTACCTTTGTAAGTAAAAGTTAAAGCGAAGTGGAGAAAGAAGATGAGGTCGGACAGCCAATATCTATCCATTCTTCCTGTGGCTTTTATAGTAAGAGCAAGTTACCACTTGCCCCTCACTTCAGTACAGGTGTACTGGTGGAAGCGGTGACAAGGAGACGACACAGATGAGACATATACGCTAAGGCTATATACACATATAACAAGAATATCTCTATCTATCATCCATGTATCTATCATCTACCTATCATCTCTCTCTCTCTCTCTCTCTCTCTCCCCCCATCTATGCATCCATCCATGCATCCATCCATCTACCCTTGTTAATGTCCATCATTGCATATGACATACCAATACCCAACAGTTTAAAGGTAGTTAGATTCTGATATAACTATGAATGTGAAAAGAAGCCTAGAGACCATCTCATCAAATCCCACTATGACATTTGGCGCCTCAGAGGCAAATGAGTTGCAAGAGCCTCAGAATAAGCTAGCCAAACCAGGGGTGGATCACCAATCTCCCAATTCCTGGTCTGTAGTTTTCCCACTCCGCCGTGATGTAGAGACCCTGGTAAGAATAGACCTTGATGATCATTGTCAAGGGGTCCTGTCCATTGTGAATAAATGTACGGTTTGTCCTTTTGAGGGGCTGACAATTTATCTGGAGAGTCACAATATTCACATAAACTGCTAAGAACACAAGGAACTCTACAAGTTCTAAAGAAATGACTAAAGACAAGGAGTGTCTCAGAACTTCTAAGGATGGGCTCACTTCCAATTTGGGCAAGCGACAGAAGATTCTTAGGAGAGCTAAGGTTTTCAAAATGCAAGGAAAAAGGGGACCACTCTAGTCAAGGAGAAAAGTAAGTAAAATTTAGGGAAATTCAAGGCATATCTTGAGGACAAGGAACATTATTTTGGCCAAAATAAAAGGTCAAAGGTCAATATAAAATCATTAGAGAAAAGCTTGCAAAAAAAATAGAAAGAAAGAAAATAAGGGAGGGAGGAAGAAAGAAAAGAAAAAAAAAAAGAGTTACCTCAGGTATGAGAGCACCATGACTGCCAGACTAAAGGAGCTGGGCAGTATTTCCAAGGTAATGGAGAGCCACTGGAGAGTTCTGAAATTACTTATGTCCTCTACTAACTGAAAGGAAGAGGGAGTGGTAAGGGTAGGAGAGGGTGAGAGATGGAGATTCAAAAAATGAAACAGACAGGGCAAGTCCAAAGACAAAGCCACCTCTTAACAAATGCTAAGTGACAAGAACAGCCAAACTAGTTTCTACTCACAGTTGTTCACACGGACACAAAACTGTGCAATTCCACTGGAATCCGTGAAAACTCTGGAAGGGAATGGGGAGTTGCTCCTGAAGATAAGAGAGTTGTCGACACACACCCAGCTGGAAGATCTGTGAGGAAAGATGAAGATATTGAGGAGCCGCAAAGGGGTAGGGCTAGGGGAGGGGCCCCACAGATGTCTGATGCCAATGAGAGGCTCTGTGGGCAGCTGCGGTTCAACACACAGGTTCTGTTTTACTGGATGTCTCGGCTCTACAGAAACAGAAAGAAAGATCACTCCCAGGAAAACCCAAGGGAACATCCTAGGGGAGGAAGTAGGGGTAGGAGGCTCACTCTTACTTCTAGACCCTAAGAGTATGGCAGCTCACCTTACACTACCAGGCAGGCAGAAGGAAAAGACGGTCCTGGGATGGAGAAGATCGCAGTCCTTGTCACAGCAGCAGTTTAAATCGCAGGTACCAGGAGTCAAGTCACAGACGCAGATCGGCAAGGCTGTAAGTGCAAGATAAAGTAAAGCGAGATGAAGCTCCCCGAAGTCTTCCCGCGTGCACAGCCCCTACCGGCTTTGTGGCAAGTCAGTTTTGTCCACAGAATTTTAGGTCTGAGAAGTCAGTATTTCCATCCCATATACCGCCGCATCATCACCTGGGAAGGGGTCTGTGGTCACGTTCTCGGGCATCGACGGGGTCCCGGGAGTAGGGCCCTCAGACCAGTCCGGTGGAGCTGCAGTAGCCACTTCGGGCGTCACTGGCCCCAGGGAGGTGGGCAGAGCCTGGGTTGGGGGGAAGGGCTGAGGTCCGGCGGCGTCAGGAAGCATCAGGATCACCACCATCAGCAGGTGCAGCTGCGGAATGCACATAGGGCAGCCGGGCCGCAGAAGGGTGCGATAGGAACCTCAATCTCCAGAGGCGTCCTAGGAGCGCAAGGAGGAGGAGTCGCATGACGTCATCTGCTTCCATCTGCGCATTGGCTCAGGCGGTTGTTGAGTGCTCTTCTGCCAATGGAAGGCCGTGTTGTTGCGACCCTGCGTATCCTTCCTACTGCGCCCTCCTCCTTGGCGGCGCGTGGCTCCGGTCACCTGGCAACCGCTGGGAACCAGCCCGGGGGAGGCGCCTTTGCTCCTTCCCGCCGCTAGGTGGCGGCTGGCGTCATGTTGATGCCCTATGCGGACCTGGAGGAGTCAAGTGAGGTTAAATGGAAGACCCAGAGGCAGGAACTGGAATTACACGGCTTTTTCGATCCGTTTTCTCAAGGTAAGAGGCCCTTTCTGTGGAAGGGTCATGATCTCAAAAAGAAAAACACATTGGAAGTCACATCCCTTAAACATGCCAGGAAACTGAGTCCCGGATCATGCTCGTTACTCCCGTGACTCAAGTAAGATCACGAGTTTTAGGCCAGCCTGGGCTACAGAGTGAGACTCTGTTCCCTAAAACAAAGACAAACGTATAAAGTCCCCATGATAGGGACTGGAGAGATGGCTCAGCTGCTAAGAACATTTGTTCATTCAGAGGACTGGAGTTTGCTTCCCAGCACCCAGAGTGTGTCTTACAACCATCCGTAACTCCAGTTCCAGGGCATCCATTGCCTCTGCCACCTTCTGACCTCAGTAGGCGTCAGACACCCACTGTACACATGCAGGCAAAACACTCATATGCATAAAATCTAAAAGAAAAAATTTAAATCTCTCCACTGTAATACTATGGCATTTTTTAAAAGGACAATAAAAACAGTGCTTATTCAACTCCATGAGTTTTTTTTTTCTCCTCACCGCCCCCCCCCCCCTTTTTGAATATAGTTTCATGTAGCCCAGGCTGACCTTCAAACTCAAGATGTGGCCAAGGATGACCCTGAATTTCTGATCCTCCGGGTTGCTGGCATTAGAGTCATGCAGGTCACCACAACATCCCGGAGGTCAAACTCAAGGCTTTGGCTTCATGCATCCCCGGCAAACACTCTACCAACTTCAATTTTATTACTGAAATTAAAAAAAAAAAAACAACTTTAGTAAGTGCCTCCTATCTGTAAAAGTGATCTGTATATTTGTTGCTGGGAAGGGTAGTGAGAGGAGAGTTTCAGTACAAGAAAACAGGGTGGGGAAGCACTGAGGAGCTGGAGAAAGTAAAAATTTAGAAACATATTCTGAGGAGAAAAAAGTAAGATACAGAAATGGAAGCAGCCAAGGAGCTGAGGAGCAAGCTTATTGCCTTTTCCACCGTTTTAAATACAAGATTTTGTAACGCTCTCTAGAATGCAGTGGAACGCCCTTCTAACTGTCCGAATAGCACAGGCATTCTGTACTTGCACTAATCTGGTCGGCACAGACATGGATGGCTATTGCACATGTGATAGGCACCTAGTACGCTTGAGCTGCTAAATATTTAATTTTACCATTGTAATTAATTACAAGTTAAACAACCTCAGGTGGCTAGTAGCTATTGAATTGAGCAGTTAGATTGTATATGATCAACCCACCTGCCAGGTGTTGTCTCCCTGTAGTCACAATTCCAACATCTGGATTAGTTTAACAGTTTATTTGGAGAAATAAAGTAAGTTACCTGACTAAACTCTAGTCCACTTCCTTAAAATTGACTTCTGATACCTCTCTTTTCCAGTGAATTTTCTGGGCAGATAAGATTTGGGACACTTGAAATTGCTCATATGTTGCAAGAAGATCTTAATTTTTATAATGTCTTGAAATTTGTAGCTGAATATATATTTATGCTCTAAATATTCTCAAACATTGTTATGTGACTGGGTGGTGAACTAGGAAATAAATAAATATATTTATGTGGTGTTTGGCCTTAATACACTTATTGGTTGTGTTAGCAATTTCCATAGCTTTTTTATTTTTAGATTTATTTTTTCTTTCTGTATAAGTGTCTCTGTGTGTGCCTCGTGTTTGGTGCCTGTGAAGAACAAAAGAGAGAGTAAGAGTCCCCTGGAGCTGGAGTTATAGGAGGTTGTGAGCCTCCTGGTGTGGGTGATGGGAACTGAATGCCAGTACCCTGGAAGAGCAGAAAGCATTCTTCCACACTGAACCATCTCTCCAGCCCATATTCCATCATTTTTCAAAGACCAAATTTATCTTACTCAAATTATATGTATCTACTACAATATAATTTCTGTAGGTAAGAGGTTTATTTGTTTTGTTTGCTGATAATATTCTCTTGCCTAGTCATGCTCATATATGAACATTTAAAATGTATATTGATGATTGTTTTGTTGAACTCCTTCATTTGAGTTCTTGGGAGATTATTTTATTTCAGATTGTGCCTATCTTTCTAAACTCTGCTTTATAGCTGATCATAAAATCTTTTAGATCTCAAATTTTAGAATTTGCATTTCCCCTCTCAAGTTATTCCTCGGTGATTATTTGCAAACTTGGCTGGCTGAAGTAATCTCAGGGGTAACTGATAAGGAAGTGCTGTTCAGCAACATCTGAGTTGCTTTTTCTTATCTTCAAATTTCAGCACTTAAGGACTGGGTTCAGCTCAGTGGCAGAGTGCTACTCTACCATGCTATAGGCCTTGCACTCTGTCCCTAGCACTGGGGGAGGGGCAGGAGTTTATGTCTCCATCTAATTTTTCTGTAATTTGTAGAGATCTAGGAAAGAGGCAAGAGGAGAGTTAGAATTTGTTCCCAGTCTTCCATCTTGATCCAGTCTGCTATGTTTTCAACCACATATTGAACACTTTTCCTCTCAAACACAGACAGCTTGCTGGAATCATATGATCTAATTTGGAAATCTCTACTTCTAAGGTGATGTCATATTAACCCATCCAAAGACTTGGCTCAATCTTAAAACTGGCATCTGCATGGCACATGGGAACAAATTTCATTCTCCTCCAAATTATCTTTTAGATTTTAAATCTTTTAGATTTCAATATTAGATCCCCAAAGTATTGAGTTTCTTTTTGTTTGTTTTTCCGAGTCAAGGTTTCTCTGTGTAACAGTCCTGGTTGTCCCGGAACTCAATCTGTAGACCCAGGCTGGCCTCAGACTCACAGAGATCTGCCTACCTCTGTCTCCCAAGTGCTGCGATTAAAGGCGTGTGCCACCACTGCCCGGCAAGAATTGAGATTTTTATGTTACAGATTCCAGCAAACAGAAAGTAAGAAGAATTTAGACAAATTTTTGTTCAACTGTCACAATTGGGAATGAATTCTCTATTATAAATCTAAACATCACAGAAAAGGCTGTTGGATATGCACAGACTCACGTGCAGACATGAACATACCTTGAAACTGAAAAACAAGCAAAGAGAGTTTCGGGGAAGAGAGGGAGAGCAGACAGCTGTGAGCTGTCACTGCTGTAGCTTTGGTGTCTGTAGAACCTCAATAGGAGAGGCAGACTCTTTTTTTTTTGGAGAGGCAGTCTCTTATCTCCTATGTCTTGTGAAATTTTTTGATCTTGTGCTATGTTTTTGGCTTTGGGAGGAACCTTATCATCAAAGGAGATGGCTGCAATGCTACCAACAACACAGACCCTCGATCCATGAAATCCCAAGTATCCATTGGGAATCTCAGCACAATGTGGTTAAGAAGTCTGATGTGGAGGCAATCTCTTCAAAGTATGACCAAATTGTGGGTTGCTCTGTACATAGGGGCTTTGCCTTCATCAAGTATGTTCATGAGAGAAATGCCGGGCCTGCCGTAGCCAGAGAGGATGGCAGAAGGATTGCTGGCCGGGGGTTTAGATCTTAATCTGACTGCAGTGCAAAAAGTGAATCAAAGAAGAGCAGGTGTGAAATGATCTGCAGCAGAAATGGAGGATTCCTTGCTTGACTTGGACAGTGCCTTCCACCGGAATTACCATGACGGGACGTACCATTTCCCATCTCACCGCAGTAGAGATGAGGAGGGAGAGGGCCAGAGAAGAGCAGAGCAGCCTCTCTATGCAGAACCATGAAAGTAATGTGAAGATGGAGTCTGAGGCAGACGCAGATGACCCTGCTGAGCAGGTGGCCTGTGGCTGATGATGATAATAACAAAGGTGGGGCGTGTGTGAGCAGCTGGAGTTGATCAAAGATGATGAAAAGGAGGCTGAGGAAGGAGAGGATGTTGCTTAAGCACAGGGTGGAATTTGAAATCCCACCTCATTGATTATTCCTTTACCTAGGTGCTTGTGAGAGATTGAAGTAACAGCAGCTCCTCTTCTCTAGTATCTTCAGCACATCCCCCCGTCCTCCCTCTCTTCATCCTTCCTGTGTTCAGTCATTCATAGTTGTCCTGCTCCCGTGTCTGCTTTCACTTCCTTTGATGCTCCTTGGTAGTTTTGTTAAGTCTTACCCTGTAAGTTTTGCTGTAAGTTTTGGTACTGCTTTGGCTTCACAATAAAAAGATTTCTTTTTAATCAAAAAGCAAAACCATGAAAAAATGCTCTCAGTGATCATATATGTTTTATAATTGTGTGCGTGTGCGTGTGCGTGTGCATGTGCGTGTGTGTGTGTGTGTGTGTGTGTGTGTGAGTGTGTGTGTGTGTGTGTGCGTGTGTGAAATAAGGATTTTTACCTAAACTATATGAAGAATCCATAGGAAATAAAGACCTGACCATGCTCTTTATGAAAGAGTGCATCTACTATAATTTGGATCTGAGGTCTCAGAGGACCAGCCTATGGTGCTGTTGTTAGGTGATAGAATCTTCCAGAAGTAGGGCGTGGCAGGAGGATGTTTCCTGGCTGCCATGAGGTGAGTACCTTCCTCTTGCCCTGTGCTCCTCCCTCCCTCACGTTCTGCCTCACACAGGCACAAAGGCTGTGGGACCAAATGACTGGGAGAAAACCTCCTTCATAAACCTTTCCTTCTTGGAAGCTGCTGTGTCAGGCATTTTATGACAGTGCTGGGAAAGCTGTCTAACACAAAATCCAAGGGACTGAGAAACAAAAGAGCAGAAACATTACTGATCAAGAGAATCAGAATAAAGACAACAATAAAATACCAT